AAACAAAATTGACCAACATAATCTTCCCAAGAAAGAGTAGTAAAATAGAAAAAAAAAAAAAAAGAGAAGAACAAATCAAAGCTCTTATGATTATAAGATACTTACACTCCACTCAAACCACGCATACTTTTCAATGATGCCGAAATTGAACAAGTAGTAAGCCACGGATCTGGTGGCATGCATACACACCTAGGCAACTGAATGAAAGCATTCGATGAATTAATTGTCATCATTAACTTACTAATAACATTATGATTAGGATATGATTGCATTTGTTTAAGTACTAATGCATGTCCTCCAACCTAGGACATGTACAAATTTTATTATTCATTCGTTTCTCTAGAGATATAGCGGCTAAAATTCCTGATGCATAGTTAAAGTTCCATGAAATGGCAAAAGCAAAGAAAATTAGTCAAAGCGTGAATTCATATAGGATAGATACAAAAAAAATAAAAAGGTAACCAAAAGGCATGTTTGTCCCAGTCTTTATACTATCACTTTCATGCAAACAAAAGGCGGTGCCTACTTTGGACCCATATTTTTTGTGTCATGCGCTGCCGTGTACAACACTAAACTCCACCAAAATTCAATGTTGATAAAAACAAGAAAGCTAAATATAGAACGATTACTACAAATCCAAGTATGTTAGAGCTCCAACTTCATTTGATGATTTGAAAACTGTCAATGGAGATGATGTGCATATTTTTCGTGAAGCTGCAGCTTTGAGAGGTCATTTCAATTTGAATTAGATAACTTTCAAGAACAATGTTTAAATGAAGCATCTTCATAGCACAGGTCCTATGGTTTAAGGAAACTGTTGGCTACTATATTGGTTTATTTTCCTCCTGCTAATGCTGAAGAGGTACGGCAAAAATTTGAGAAATTTTTATTGAAGATTTTCGCCAAGCATCATCGGATGATCATGTTCATTATCAAGTTGTACCTTATATAAGCAATTTTTTTGGAGTCTATGGGCAAAGACATTAATACTTTTGGCTTAGTTCCACAGTTCTTGAAATTTAATGTTTCAGAAAACAAAGGTGCAAGAGAAACCATTAGTGAGACCAACATTTCTGTATCAGAGGCAGATCCAATATTTATCCATCAATTTAATTCTGGACAAAAAGCTGCTTTTAATACTATGATAAATGATGCATATGCAAAGAAAAAAAGGATGTTTCTTCATAGTTGGTAAATGAGGTTGGTATATGAGGTACTGGAAAAGCATATCTCTGTCCAGCTTCATTTGCTGAAGTCAGATAAGAGATAATAGATGACAGATTAATGGGTAAAAATGCCTGGTTGGTCCTCAAACTTTTGAATTTGTACACTCTTAGCGCTTCAACTATCATTTGTATAATTTTAACCCTCAAACTTCTAAAGTGTACATTTCCGACATTTAAATTCATTGAGGCATCAAAAACCAAGGGAATCTGAATTACACAAAATAGACAAGCGAAAGGTGAATGGGTAGTAAGTTAACATAGTAAAAAGATAGTCCAAAATTGGAGGTATTTTCATTCAATGCAAACAGGACCAAATAAATCACATTTTTGTAATCCCCATGCCATAAGGAGTTTATTGGTATATCCTTAAAAGAAAGGAGTTTATTGGTATTAAATACCACAGAATTTGACATCAAATGAGCCTTGAAATACCCACAAAGCAGTACTAAGAATGCAAAGTTGTTTAGTGAAAATTTAAATGATTTCATGCCAAATTCCTTGTCTATTTGAACTCTCCTCACTCGACAAACATTTTGATGTAAAGCTTCAAAGATTTGGTAAATGATTTGCAAATTGGTGGTGAAACTATCATTCATTAGTTCTGATGCGATCATAGGTTCCAATGGTTCATGGTCAAATCATGGAAGAGGTTGATTCGTTGAAGATTCACAAATTCGAGATCCCTTCCTTGATTTTCCTTAATTTCCTTAGTTTTAGTGATTTATGTTAGTTATAAGTCATTGTCATTTGTTTAATGGCTGGCTAAGTGTCATTTGCTTTCTTAAAATTCCAACCATGTGTTTAGTTAAATTCCAACATTGATTTGTTGGTTAATTAGTTAATTGGAGTTGTTAGTCAGTTGAATAAATGGCTGAAGGTCATGTGGACCATTATTGAGCCGATTTGAGTTAGTTGGTTTCTTATTCTATTGAAGTTAATGTTTAGGAAAGTAGCTAATTGTTTCCAAGTTTGTTTAGGTCTTTGAGTCTTATAAAGGTTATAAATAAGTCTTCAACATTAACGTTTTCCACAAGATGATGATGAATTAAATTTCGGATAAAACACCTTGTGTTTTTCGTGAGTCTCTTATCCAAGAGCTCCAAACTTGAATACTAAAAAGGATTCTTGAGTTTTCAATCGATTTATCAATTCAAAATCACGTTGAATTGTGCCATCATTCTATCCTTCTAATCAATCTCGAGTGGTCCTTGATCATTTAGAATCCATTCTTTTGTATCCATGGCTTGATCAAAAAATATTCTTCTGCTGTTTGATTAATTTGGTTTTTTAAGACAGGTTTTTGTTGGATCGAATTTGTATCAAGTTCAGATTTACTCATATCTAACAAGATTTACAGAAAATTGAGAACAAATTTGGAATCTACATGAAATACAAAGTCTAGAGATATAATTTTATCTAAGTTTTAGAGCATTAAAATAGGGATCAACTCTTGGTGAACAGTGATCACTGGCTATTGACCGTACTTGTAGCAATGACTGGACGTGATTGAAGGAAAGGGACGATCAAAACTACATCGAATTTGACGTAAATTCCGTAATGAGAATGATAGTTGAAATTGGCAGAAATATTAGAAATGTTAACGTTGAGAAATTGGAGAGTTAATAGTATATAAATAATAGTCAAAGAGTTAAAAAAAAAAAAAAAAAAAGGGCTAACAAAAACTTTTGCTCTAGATTAATGGATAAATAGCTTGTTTCATAGGTTGCAAGTTATGTGGTGTAAATTGATAATACATAAAATACAGTCTATCAATTCTAAACTTCCTAGACTTTGAAAGAATAACAAGATTCAGCCAGTAGAAAATCATCAATATATATGCAGAAGGAATCTAGAACTATAGAACATAGATGACATGCATTATTCTATGAAGAATTCTTTCAAATACCAGTTTTGGTTTTTTTTTTTTTTGAGCAGTATTGGTATTTCATGTTTTACTATCGGAGTTGATCTCAACTTGCTACGGGCTGGAACTTAAGTTCTTTGATCCCAAACCAGGATTTGCACCAAGGCATTCTTGCAATGAATCATTCTGGAACTTCGTTACACACAAAACTCGCAGCAGCACAAGATAAGCTGACTGGGCACTCTACTTCAGAAGATACTGCATGCAAAAGGAGATACCTCTTCTTTCTCCAATAGCTAAATCACTAGGAATTCTCTATCCAGATCCAAGCACGAATGACAGCCCAAACAGTGATGAAGCATAATTCAACAAGGTTTGAACTGCAACAGCCTATAATGTCAATGGATACAGATGTTAAGCATGTGCCATCTCTCTCTATTCTCAAATGATTTATTGAATTTTATGGAAGCTTCACTCTAGAATTCTCAAGAAACAAATTTGGTGCGAATGTGATAGCTAGTTATGTGAAGTGGCAAACTTAAAAGCGGCTTTTCCTTTCGTCAATCGACCTAAAGCTCTACAAATAACAATGTTTTTGAACCCGGACCATTAAGTGAATGAGGTTTCAATCCATTGTTTCAAACTAATTCAATCTAGCTAAAATTTTTTTCTTTTTTTTATTATTTTAATTATTAAGTAACTTGGGTGACTTTGAAACTAAACAAAAAAAAAAATTACCATGAACTAGTTTGATCGGTTTTGATCAGTTCAACTGATTTTTGACCGGATTTAATGATCGAATTTACTAGTGATCAGACCAAAGTTAGGTTAACTCACGATTCGACAAGTCAACCTGTCTAATGCGATCCAAATTTTAAAATACTGATATATAGGTTAGGGTGTTATTGGGTTACTAGTGAGGTAAGTCTATTGCCATGCGAGTTGTAAGTTGGTGTCTAGGTTTAGAGTTATCTGTAATATGTTGCATGTTAATGTGTTTTACGTATAATTGTTGAGTATTATTTGTGAACTTTAGTTTGAGTTTCTGCCACTGGAGAAAAATCAACGACAGAGTCACTAGCCCTTAAGAGAACATAAAACAACTGATGCCGGAATATCCCTATCGACCTTCAAGTGAGCATGAAACCTTTATCTGCAAATAATCCACGAAAGTTGTGTCGAGAAGCAAAGTTGAATGAATAGTTGAGGCAAAGGCATTATTGTTACATGAGGCAAATACCTATAACTCGTAAGAGTACAAATGATTTGTGTATGTGTATATCTAAATTAGATACGCGATACATTTATACTATTTACAACAGCTAGCATATAAAAATTGCTTTAAAATTTTAGAACACATACTAAAGCTTTTGAAAGTAATTTATATGTAAGATGAGAGTTATTGACCAAGAAAAAAATAAGATGCCATGTCTTGTATTTAATCAAAGGCATATTGTATTGGTTAAATTCTATACTGAAAGTGTATACACAAAAGCGGGTTGGATACATGCCACGTCATCTCTTTATTTATTTATTTATTTTTTTAAAAAGCTAAATTCATCAACATCAATTACAGACGTACAGCAATAAGGCATGAATTTACACTTAATCCATTAATTCTTAAAAAAAGAAAAGAATTAAATAATATCTTTTCTTCAAATAGAAAATATATGCGAAGCATGGATTCCTTTTTTCGTTTCAATTCGTAAATTTATTCAGTGGGTTTACTTTTATCCTTCTCATTCTAGACCAAGACTGCATGTCAACAATATATTCATATCTGTAAAACAATCCATACAAACTTCCTACATTCTTATACAAAATTGTACAACCGGTCCAAGTTTTCTTACTCTGTTCTAATAATATATATTAACATTGAACGAACTAGTTATATATTGGTGTTCGGGGAGCTAGCAGTGGTAACATGATGAGATAGACAAGTCCAAGTTAACATGATTGTCCTTGCTAGACTGGTGAAGAAGAAGATTAAAAGAATTGCTTGAGGCACTGGATTGCGAGACTAGACGATCATTAGAGGACCACCAGCTTCTCCCTTTTCCACATTCAGCAATGGCTTGTAAAGAGTTACAAACTCCATTCTGATTTTCTCTCGAAGTATTGCAATTTGTATAACCTTGAATGACCTGCAAAATATCAATTAAAACTCAAGTTAATTTGCACAATTCTTCATACACATTTTTCCAAACTGCAAATTATACCCTGTGATTTTTATAACCTTACCCCATGTCCCTGCCATGCTCTAAAATCCAGCTCTTTATGTTTTTTTTTTGCTTTCAAATTTCTTGGTTACTGCCCTACATACAGTTACTCGAAAAATGGCTACCATATGCATAAATGCTTACCCCACACCATTTCCGTAATAGGAATATTTTGGCACTTATAGTTGATCTTGTGTTGTTAAGAACTGACAGTATGGAAAAAATTAGTAGTACATTAAAAACATGTGGGGGGGGGGGTGGTGAAGTGCACTTAGCATCTTTTGTAGGGGTTATTTAGTTATTATATTCAGATTAGTTTCATTTAGGATCACATTGCACTCTTGAACTTATGTTAAGATTTCACCACAGGTTTTAATTTTGGACATTCTTCACTATGAATTTTCTTCAATTAGTTCTACTATGCACCCTAACTTTTGATTTTTTCCATATACTATTCCCCAAACTTCAGCGCGGGACAATCGTGAACTCTAAAATGCTTTAATTGTCACTAATGCTGTTACAATATTGGTGCAAATTATGCATATGGGAGTGTGTTATTTAACTTTGCCATGATATTCGACAAAAAGCAAAGTTAATAGTTACATGCACGTACAAATAGCTGCCAACTAGAAGGAAATTCCTTTAATTTGTTTCAGAAACGTAGTTCAAAATTATCCCCTTTTGACTAGTCATTGTTATTAAAAATTTTCATAAGATTTTGAAGTAATAAATCTAACGTGGTCATTTTCTTTATGTCAAGAGGAACGTTACTTGTGTGGGCTGTAAAGAATGTACCTAAGTTATCCAGTGAAGATGGAGTATTAGCTTTCTATTTGCTACTTGCTACACATTTTAGCACAAAATGATTTGCTTCCAGAATGTAAGCAACATTTTTTAAAATTATTTTCAATATTGATTTTTATTATTCCTAATCTCAATCTAATGTTTCAGGATCGTTCAGTTCTTTTTTATTTCATAGTTGGTAGTTTGTCAGTAAATAGTATTTTACAATCTTAGTATCATCAAAGGAACAATGCGATAACAATTTATGACTAGTGATACAACAAAAAACCAGTGCAAAGTTTCTACTATTTGACTCTCACATGCCTATGATAGTATGATTTAAGTAATTTGTTTGGTCACTGCAAAACTAATCCAGAGCAAGTAAAACACATGGCATCTTTTGGGGAATGAAGTGCCTGAAAATTGAAATTTTAGGTGCAATATGATTATTTGTGTGAAGTTTAAGGGTGCAATGTGATGCTAAGTTTTCGTTATAAGGTTTTGAATACACACCTAACTACCGGAACAAAGTGAGGAAGATATAAAAAAGTTTAGATTAATTTTCCAAAATGAAAATTTGTGGTGCAATCCATATAAATTTCATGGAAACAAAATGAAATTAGTCCTTTTTATGTATATAAGTACACTGAATCTGTTGCAATATGAGTATATCTTTATTTTTACTTTTCCTAACACTATGAGTAGAAGTTACCTGGGCATATATTGTCCAAAAAAAAAAAAGGGGTTACCTGGGAATCCCCATGGCTGATGGTCTTAGTTTTGCTTTTGCAAGTGATCGAGCTCCAAGATTCCTTCCTCTTTGTTGGTGGTTCTTGATGTATGCCAACTTTACTGGAAAAGCAAGATTTCATACATTTTCAGAATAAAGAGTAGGACATGGTTGGATATAACTATTTATTTATCCCACTATTTATGGGTTATTACTTGTAATCATGTCAAATAAAAGGAAAAAAAAAACACACACACACACACACACACGCACACGCACACGTCTAAGGAAAAATGATAAGAAACAAGAAGGCACCTTACCATTCAAGCACTCCAAAAATAGTCAAGTGTTTGTTTTTTCAGAGGTTGAAAGTGGTTTAAAAGTCACTATTTTCTTACTCCTTGGGACAACTCTCATTTAATTTTTTTCCCATAATTACTTAAATAACTTGATCTAAGATGAAATTGTCCATTGAATTAGCCATAGATGGGCTTTTGATCGACAAAATAATTTGAAAGCTAGGAGAAAGCCGTATATTAGGGTTTTGATCCACATACACAAATTTTGTGTATTAAATGGAATAGTGTATAAAAGTTTCCCAAATATTTGGTACGCAGGTATGCATCAGTTCGATTTCCTTGTTATCACCAAAACGTTCTCTTTCCTTATACTTTAAGTTCACAAAACTTGGCTGATTTTATGAAAACAACGTAATAATTTAGTACAACATAAAGAAAATTCCATTAATTTAGTATAAACTAAAAATATGATATAACATAAAGAAAACCCATTAGTTAAGTATAAACTAAAACCAGAGGAAAGTTGCCTGCCCGCCCTATCATACAGATGCTCATAGAGCAGGATATTATTGATTGTCACCTAGAAAATGAACTAATTATAGCAGTGCCTACCTGGGAGGGGACCGAACTACAGCATCTGGTTTCTGCTCCTCATGCAGCTTCGCAGGCACCACTAGGTTAATGGTGGTCCTCTTCTTCAGACTTCTATACATCTGAAAAGCCATGAGTCAATCCAATTCAGATCAGAATTTTTTATTTTTTTTTTGGTTTTCTAGAAAAGGGTAGTCTAAACATATATACAATCGTTCTTCTTTTTCCTTTAAATGATCTCGGGCAGCATTTTTTTGCATGGTTTTCATGTTCCATTAACACAAGCACAGGCAATTTGTACAGCCTATTTGGTACTCCCTCCGTTCCGATTATTTTGTCATGTTTTGGTAATTTAACATTTTAAAAATAGTGGTTTGACTGTGATGTTTGTATTTCTCTTTCCAATCTTACACCATAAATTCAAATTTTAAATTTAAATTGTAACATGCAAGTGATTAAAGAGAGAAACTACATTGAAAAGAGAGACTATAAAGTGCTCTGACTTTCTCAATATGACAAATATTTTGGGATATTACAAAACAAAAAATGTGCCATTTTCAGTGGGAGGGAAGTTGTGTTTTAAACTCTAATCGGACCGACTGGTTCGATCGATTGAATCGAAAATCGGCTAGTTCCTTGGTCCGAGTTAGTATAGAAACCAATGTGGAAGAGACTCGGTCAAAGCAAGTCAAAAAATCCAGTTTGACTGTGAACAGGTAAAACCCATAAAAATCGGGTTTTTTCTATTTTCTATTTTTGCTGAATCTTCATTTTTTTTCTTGGACCTTTTTATATTTTCCTAAACAACTAACAATAACATAGCAACTCTAAAAGCTTGAGATTTGGTCAAACTTTTAACAAATGAAAAATAAATGAAAAAAAATGTATGAAAGGATGAGAAGAAAAGAAGAAGAGGTCCAGAATCTCACATGAGAAAGGGTGAAAAGATCTAAAATAAAAAAAATGGTAGAAAGAAATATAAGAGAAAGAAAAGAAGAATAAGAGAGTATAAAGAAATATGAAAGGATGCGAAGAAAAGAAGAAGAGGTCCAGAATCTCACATGAGAAAGGGTGAAAAGATCTAAAATAAAAAAAAATGTTAGAAAGAAATATAAGAGAAAGAGAAGAAGAAGAAGAAGAGAGTGTAAAGAAATAAAAAAAGAAAACATTAGAGGAAAAAAAACCAAATACATCACCTGGAAACTTTGTGATGCTGGAATGGAAGGTGGAAAACTTTGATATGACGGACTGGCGGAGAAGAAGAAACAAGAAGGAATCCTTTATAAGTTAAAAAGCTTTTTTCATATTATACTTTGACCCCTCGATATTTTAAATAATCATAATTTCACACGTAGAATTCTTTTCTTACTCATTTGCAGCCTTACTTGTTGCATTTTTCAGTGATTCATATTTTCATTCTGGATTCATCATCTTATGGAATTAGAGACTCGTTAATGTCATTATATCTTACCTAAAAAAGTTCTACCCAAGTACATTGTTTACTTTATCATTAATTTCAGCCCTTAATATATTGGACATATGGGAAAGATTGAAATCACTATGAGTACATATTTATTCTATTTATTTTGTTTTTTATATAATTAAAAATATATTTATGATGTCATCCAATTTCATCTTGGATTTAACGGGGTGAACCCATTGATCCCTAACCCCTAAACTCTGTTAAGTCGTTGCTCGGTCCGAGTTTCAAAATATTGATGGAGGGATTATTTTGCTAGAGGAAAAGAATTTAGTCTCCTCAGTATTAACATTCTTATTTGGAAAATATGTTCAGTATAAATATACAATACTAATATGCCTTTTTAATCTTTTAGGTAACGGCTCGTTAGTTTTGTCAAAAAGGTACAAAAAATTTAGTTAAACAAACAGAATAAACATATATGAGGACATCTTAATTAGGTCACATGGCAATGTAGGATTTTTCACGATTCCAATATCAGATATTGGAATATAACTATAATGCAAATGTGTACCGTTCCCCAAAGATAGAGAAATTGAGAGATGCTTGAGAATTTTGATCAACACGTTGTGGTTCCCGTGCTTGGCAAAGGTGACTCCCTTTCCCTCTCCAAATTTGGTATAGTGGCTATAAATGGGATGAGCCACCATACCAACAAGTCTTAGATCAGAGAGAGGGATGTAACCTTTTATGACTGTAATGGAACCTCCCAAGCAACCCTAATCTGAATAACAGGCCATGTACCTTGTATATCACACTAAATAGATGATTGAAGCAGACGTAGACCCCAACTATAGTGGATCATACTATAGTAAGCTCTAATAGTTTTCACTTAAACTGTGTTTGAGAAAACAAAATTAATCAGTGGAAGCCCAAATTAGGAAATAATTCTAACATTCTCTCACTTGGGCAACATTGATTATTTCAATCTTAAATTTGACAGCATTTGAAATGTAAATTTCAAAATAATTTTAGAAAATGACTCTTGGGTTAAACATAACTTTAGTTTTCACTATAAGAAAACATCTCAGTATAGAATTTCGTCCAATGAAAGTGCTTGTATTGAACTAAAGACGGCTTTATATCGTTTATTAATGCAGGACCTCCATAATTATAAATACTAATACTTCATCGACACAAATTCCACAGTATGATAAAGAATTCAGTCTCCTCAACATTAACATTCTTATTTGGGAAATATGTTTAGCATAAATATGCAATACTTATCTATCTTTTTAGTCTTTTGGTAATGGCTCGTTAGTTTTCTCAAATGGTACAAAAAATTTAGTTAAACAAACAGAATAAACGTATATGAGGACATCTTAGGTCACATGGCAATGCTTAAAATGGATGAGTAGATAGGTTATATATATATGTGTGTGTGTGTGTGTGTGTGTTAAAGGAAAATAGAAACGTTACCAGACGATATAAAAATGTTAAAGGCAACCGTTAACAGCTTTTTTTCCTTTTCTATTATTATTTATCTCTTTATCAGCATATTTTAGGTATCTTCAACCCCTAATTTCTAGAATTTTTTTTATAAATTTTTAAAATCTCAAATGGTACAAGTTAAAGAGTCAAAAGTTACGAATTAAAGATTGAGAGAGTTTTAATATGTCTGCAACTTTCAAAATTATAATTTCTCTGCTATTACTAGAATCCGAATAATGAGTTCACCTACTTGGTTGTTTATTTCTAATTAGTAGTCGATATTAAGGCACCAAGTGCTTCTCCCATTTTGGCAAACCTTTTCATTTAGGTTTCTATTGAGGCCAAAGAAGACCTAAATTATGTCAAATATCAACAAGAGCCCTAAGAAAAGGATAGTATCAACATAAAGAATGACGAACTGGAAACCTTACCTCTTACCCAGGTTTGGTGTTTCCAGGATTTCAAGCGACATAACATAAACTACTTAGAAATAGTGATTCCAAGGGCAAAAAGAAAAAAAAAATAAAGGATTTGTGACCACAATGATCTGGCTCCAGGTAGATGAAGTGAAAAAATTTAGATCTAGAGTGTATAGGATATATATGCCAACCTGCAAGCTACCAACAACGAAAGCAAGAGAGAGAGAGAAAGAAGTGAAAAAGAATGCATTACTCTATAGTCTAAACTAACTATGGAATAAAGCAACTAATGAGACATATAGTGTGTGGCTAGGCCTGATTCTAGGCTTGATCTAGCTACCAAAACTTTTGGGGGTCACAAAATTATTGGAAAACTTAAACACTTCAACCCCTCCCCCCCAATGCAATGATCAATCTGAAACCCCTCCCCTTTTTGCAAGGCCAAATTCTCAGACGCTAATTGAGACTACTTAGATTTTCAAGAAATGTATGTTGCTATAATTCTACTTCCTTATACTGTTTTCTTCATTCTGTCCATTTGGTTTTCTTTCTTTTGAGACTTCTTAGGACACACATAACCGTGCAGGAGTGTAAGAATCAATGGGATTATCCTAAAGTACTCTTTTCACTCCCTGTTAGATGACTATGTAATCTTCACAATTTCTAATTTGTCATCTAAATTAGTGTGCTTGATTCTCTTTTTTTTTGTGTGACTATACTTACTTCCCTTCGTACTCTTCTTCTTTCTTCTTTTGAGAATCTGAACCTAGCAAGCATTTTAGTCGTGAAAGTTTCCTAGGATATCATCTATGGTAACCAAAGCCAGTATCAAAATGAAGTAAAATTGACAAAAAAAAAATAAAAGAGAAGTATATCTGATTGCTATACCTGCAGATGACTTTTGACATGAGACATCTGAAGCCCTCTTACACCCATCATTTGAATGATTCTCTTGGGTGTTGCTTCTGAAAAATTCACAGGATCAATGATAAATTCAACATTTACTACTAGACCAGGCAATATATCCATCCATATACACTTGATATGGTATCATGATCAAGTAAAAATATATGAAAATTAACCCTAGTCAAAAAGTTGTTTGTTATACTAGTGCTCTTACAACAAATATTTTTAATAGTACTAGATGATTAACTATAAACCAGATTGAGTAGTCTTATGTTGACAAGAAAATCCTTGGGTAGCTACTGAGTATATATGCCATGCTACATGTCCTTGTTTATGGAAAGCCTTTTATCAATGAAAAATAAAAGAAAAAGGGTTTTCCTTGAGGAATTTAAACTTACTTTGCTTTCCACCAAGGTGTTCAACAGCTTCAACAAAGTGCTCATGAAGCTCCGGCGTCCACCGGAGACGTGGAAAAGACGATTTCTTATACTTCCTAATGCCAGTTTTAATGCAGGTCTCCATATTCTGCAGGTTTATTTGACATTCAGGAATGTTCAGCATAAATACATGAGGGTTAGATCACTACCACAAGGGAAAAGGATAAGATGTATTGAAGAGCTTAGACTTTTGTGAGCCTGCGCAGACTTTGAGAAAAATTCTCTACTGCCTCAACATTAGGGGAAAAAGAATGAGACAAATAATTGAAGCAATTATTGTTTATCAGTTTGAAAACTAGTTACAATTGGTTGGAGTATTAATCTAATTGTCCGTTTTATTGAACTTTTGGATATTCAACCTTAAGAGTTCTTTGGATTGGTGTTCCCATATATGATATAGTACCTCTAAATTAAATATGGCAGACTTACAATAGCTTTATTGTTGCACAAAATTCTGTGCACAGTAATGGAATAATTTCTTCCTAGAAGAATAATTCAACGAAACTGAAATTTAGTACATTAGATTGACAATATTGCACAACCTGCCAAACATTTTTGAATTGCTGGCTCATTCTTTGACTAAAAGTTTGGTCAGCTGATACAATACCACATGCTAACTAAAATCTGAAGTTGATAAAACTGGAGTCTGAAAACTGAAGTTTGAAATCTGAAGTCTAAATCCATTAAATTATTGAACTGTTAAATATTAAATCTAATACAAGTGCATATCACATTCAGTGATAAGTGAATAGCTTATCACTTAATTTTGGGAGCAAGTTTTGCCTAAAAAATTTAGTGCCACTTAATTAATTCAGATGCTCAATTTTTGGTTATCAAATGGTCTACATATGTTAAGATCTGAATCCATTAAATTTAAATACTGAATTGGGTTATCAAACAAGGCCTAAGGTACCATTAAGTACCTCAATGAACCTTGTGCGCACTTGTGTAATTAGTAGACCCAAAAAAATTAGAAAATAACTAACCTATAAGCTAGTATCTCTGATTGTGCTCTTTGGCAATTTTAGTTTTGACCTTCCATTGGTGGTTTTTTAGAAGAAATCTTGCTCACTGAATCCCATTTATTACTTGTCAGATAATGCATGTAACAACGGGAAATGTTTTACTTGAAAAGATGATAGGCCAAGAAAAAGTAGTTGAATCTTCTCAAGAAAAAGCAATTTATGACTGATAATTATATGTAACAGAAAAAATTTAACTTAAGAATTTCTGTGTGGGATGTTTAGAACCTAATTCCAGCAATTTGATTTGCCCAGAGTTGGATGAATTGACTCCAAATTTTCCGTTTTTCTGAGGCTTCAATTTTGGCTTTTTTTGGGGCTCCAATTTTTGCACGTTAAATGTGGTCAAAATAAACATGCCTATGTTTTCAATTCAAATGACGAACTTGACCATTAAAGAAGTTTTGAAAATGTGATCCCCGATCAAGTGTCTCTATCTCTAATTGAAGAAGGGCTAGAGAGACAACGATGGACCACGTTGTTGTGACCTTTGAATTTGTTGAACAGCTAATAATTTCAGTAGAGAAAATCTCCTCTACCATATTTAGGTTGAACAGACTTTTCTCATAGCACATTTTTGTGTAATGGTGGTGCCTGAAATTCTCCTCTACCATATTTAGGTTGAACCTACTTTTCTCATAGTACATTTTGTTAATGGTGATGCCTATGATGGCTAAAATTTGGGAAATGTTCACTTTTCGTCTCTAAACTTTGGATTAGAGACACATTTTGTTCCCAAACTTTTAGACGCAATATATTTAGTACATGAATTAATAATTTCTGATCACATTTAGTTCAAAAAGGGTAAATTGTTCAATTTGGGAGGAAAAAACTCACGTATCTAGCACGTGACTTTTGATTTTGACTAAGAAATTATTTTTACTTAACGGCCACGTGCTAGACACGTGAGACATTTACCATTTTTGGACTAAATGTGGTCAAAATTTATTAATTTATGTACTAAATATGTTGCGTCTAAAAGTTTGAAGGTAAATTGTGTCCCTGACTCAAAGTTTAGGTATAAAAAGTGGATTTTTCCCCTAAATTACGGATGTTTGATTAAGAAAAATATTAAAAATTCTTGGCTATTTATTCTTGACGATCGCAAGATTCAGTAAGGAATTTCAACAGTGATTAATGAAAATTTTTTTAATTTGGCATTGACCCCTCGTGCTTATTAGTAACTGAGGTTTAGTTTGATTAGATGCTTTAATTTTTTCCATACGATAAAAATAGTAGTCATTGAAAGAGAAAAAGAAAAGACAGAAAAAAACAAAAGAAAAGAACAAAAATTAATGCTCATGTGACTATAAGATCCTTAAATCTACTCAAGCCATATAAACTTTTCAACGATGCCATAATTCAACACCTAGTATAGCTGTGGATCTTGTGGCACAGACAAAGTTGAATGTAAAAATTCGAAGAATTAATCATCATCATTAACTCACTAATAGCATAATGATTAGGACTAAACCTTGTGCTACCTACAAACTAGGACATGCGTCTTTTTGTAATTAGTTCTAAATAGCAGCCAAAAAGTACACAGTTAAAGTTCCATCAATGGCAAAAGCAAAGCAAATTAGTCTAAGTCTGAATTATTAGTATAGATGCAAAAAATGAAAAAAGGCAACCCAAAGGCATGTTTGTCTCAATTTTTATACTATCACTTTCATGTCAACAAAAGACGGTGCCTACTCTTGGACCCATCTTTTTTGTATCATGTGCTGCCGTGTTCCACACTGAACTCCATCAAAAATTTCAATGTGGATGGAAAACAAGAAAGCTAACCCTAGAATTTCATGAAAGCAACTTTATTCTTGGTTTGAATAATACCTATCTATGCACTATTTGTCTAAGCCTATAGCTGGTTAGGTTGTGACATTTGAATGAAGTTGCGTACGTACAGGTCGCCTTCAAGAAAAACCTACACATCTTTGGATAAAACAATTCTTTTTTCGTACTTGGTTGTTCTCCATTTATCATGTATTTTAATCTAATTAACGAGTTAAATGCACCACGTGGAGCATCTTCATGTAATCCTCAGCATTTTAATCGTAGGCTAGGCATGCTGGCTTCAATAACTTGCTGGAATTATGGGTATGTAATACTCGAGTTATACGTAAGTGCACTGGATTTGATGAAGGATTTGAGTGATGGGGCAATTTTTATCGGGATAATTTCAAAAACCTCTCTTCAGGTTTTTGACAATTCATTTAGTACCCGTGTTCTTTGAAAAATATCATTTGCTTTCTCTACTTTTGACTTTTTGTAACATTATCAATCCACTTCAAAATAAATTATTAAAAACTCATTTTTGATAGAGAAGATGTTTTCATTCCAAAAGTACAATTTGTTATCCTATTTCTTTTTTCAAAATTAAAAGTATATTAAGAATAGTTTGGAATCAATAGACAAACTATATGAATGTGCAACTTTAGTGGGACGCAAAATAACGGTATGTGCTTTTAGGAAAAAAATAATTTATTTTTAAGAGCATATTTAAGGTGATTTCAAGGCAAAAAATATTATTAACTACAAAGTGTTTCCAGTCAACTTCTGGAGGTTTTTAAATTGTTTAGAATTTCTGAAAATTAGAAAAAAAAATTTGAAATTTATGTTTACAAACTCATTTGATATAAATTTCAAACCCTAGCCACACAATCATGGTGACCAAAGTTGTTGCAATCAAGAAGAAGCAAAAACAATCAGCTGAAGAAAAGACATGCAAACTAACTCCCTTTAATCATCGTTACATGCTGAGAGGCAGGATCGTGAAGGAAGAGGATATGGATGAATTTGATATCTGATAACACTTTTGAAGGAATAAGCTAGTTACTCCTCCTCACTTGTAAAAGGAAAGTTCATCTCTCAATGGTTAAATAATTTTATTACAATTGAAATGCTTCAAAAGATGTCTTGCATGAATCTGAAGTCAATAATCAGTATATGAAGTTTGATGCTTCTGCTTTAAATGAAGTTCTTGATGCTCATGATGGAGGAGTAAAATACTGGGTCTCAAAGGAGTAGGCATCTCATAATAGCTTTAATCTTACGAATGCATACCAACTTATTTGGAAACATTCTAATAAAATTTATTTTATTAAATAACCAATAAAATACAAAGATTTTGAGGGGAGCCAAACTTGACCTCAGAGGCTTCTGAAAGTAACTAAAGATAACAAACTGGATCATTCAAAAGCCTGACTGAATGATCTTATTAATGGAAAAAAAAAAGATACGTTTTCAAAGACCAAAAGGAATTATTCTTTGACTGAAAAGTGTTTGTGAATTTCTAAATTTAATATTTATTATGCCAACTAATGACATGAAAACTATTAAAATACTTTTCAACCTTGTTAACATCCTATAATTCTTAACCATAATGCCCTATCAGTGAGGTTCATAAAAGTTTAAAGGCTTAACTAAATTTATTATGAAAAGAAAAAAAGTACACAAGAAAAGCGCAATATTGGAATGAAAATATATTCTTTATCCAAAAATGAGTTTTTAATAATATATTTTAAAATAGGTTTACAATATTATAAAAAATTGAAAATAAGGGAGGTAAGTGATAGTTTTCAAAGTTCAAGAACACTAAGTGATAAATATCACAAACCTCAGGGGAGGTTTCTGAAATCATCCCATTTTTATATCAATCAGTATTGAGAAAGGTTGTATTTGATTTTGAGAAATGTTGGGTGAAAGCAAATTTAAATTTTTGACTGGACTTATCTGAAACTTTTAATTCTATGAAGGAACAAGAAGCATAAATTTCAAAGGCTTGGGGTGTCCCGTGTCCCATGTACCTATTAAATAATTTTTTCCTTTTCCTTAGCTTGAAGTTAGATAAACCATCACTTTCAAACTGAATGGAACTTCAAAAATTACACAGATAGGATTAGAAAAAGTATTTTCGCGTCTGGTCTATTTGGTTTTTCCTAGTATTATCCCTTTTTTAGGTTAAATTATACCAATTGGACCTGCTATAAATTCTCGTATCTTATCATTAAAATTCATATTTTCTATCCTCCTATTTTTCAAGCTAAACTCCATTAAAAGCAAAT